TCTACTAAATCTAACTCATCCATAGGTGGAATACTGGGAAATAGGTTTTGTACATCAATAGTGTTACGTTAGAAGGGATTTTGATATCTTTAATTTTGTTGATTAATTCAAAAGAATTTTGTATTGCAAATTTTGGTTTAAAATCTGTGAGGAACTTTAAAATATTTACTAGAGACTGGTCTAATTTGCATATCTTTTTTATGTAATTTAACTAAAGAATATATTTTCGGCGGTTGTGGATTCATAGTTGGAGTTAGTTACTTCCTTGACTTGTCTTTGATATAACTCGGTAGGATCGTGCTTGATGCATTGGAAAAGTTCTGGTTTAAGAAAATTGTTAGTTTTTGAAATATATTCTGAGAGATCGATAGCTATGACTATCTTCCCTTTACGGAATTGTACTATTGACGAATGAGCTGCGTGTATCTAGGCTATAGAAGATTGACACAATTGAGAAAAACATCTAATGTGATACGATCACATTTGGCATTTGAAGGTAGGAAAAAAAGAAGCTGTAACGTCGTAGTGGATGAAGCAATGGACGCTTGAGACTTACAACCTAATAGCGGCTGAGGCTGTAAAACACCAGCAAGGCAGACAGATAAATAGAAAGGATCTAAACCCACCCTGATCCACAACAAAGTCCACAACTTTAAGCCGATTTGTTACAATCTCGTTCTTGGGGATTGCATTCAAAGTTCAGTGCGGTTGAGTTGATATAACTGGTAATGTGGAGACGTAAATTACAGCTTACTTAAGCTGTTGTAGAATAGCGGGTAGTGTTGATTTCGATCAAAGCCAAGGTCATTCTGAAAATAATTTTCCATATATAATAATATAATAAGAATGTGTGTTTTAGGGCGCAGCGAGCAAAAGAAATAAATTAAAACAATGGACAATAATACTGTTAAAAACCTGTATTAATGTATTGGTAAGTTTAAATTAATAGGACATGCTAAGAGTATGACCTGCACACTGTTTTCCTCTCTGAAGAATCCTGAAACATATTGGTCATCAGACACTGATTGATGCAGGAGACATCTCGTTCAGTTTTTTTTTTGGACCAATATGCTTTAGTTTTAAAAAATAAAACACAGAGTTCTAATGAAAGACTACAAAATTTGATATCTGCATATGCAATTAAATACAAAACAAGAACAATGTAATGCCCCAACATACGCGTAAACTACTAATTGTTCTAATTGTTATTCAACTGGATAATTAGTGACGTTTTTCTTAAAGGGATTTATGATATAGTTCGCAAATAATAATGAAATTTTTCGCGATACAATTTAAAATAATCGACAAAAATGCACGCTCGGAGTTCTGAACTACCCCTGGGCAAATCGTGGCCAATAATTACCATTCTAAACCTAAGAGCTATATTTAGCAAATTAATGAATAAAAAATAAAAATCAATGCAAAAAAAGTACTTATCACGTCCAGACCAGATAGAATGTTACGAGGAGACAGTACGGGCGCAGTTTCTAACGATTTAGTCACCAGTGCGATAAATGAAATAAATCCAGTTGAGCATAGAGCCTCGGTAATAATTGCAACCAATTTACCAGTAAACGTGTGCTTAAGTGGATGACGGCAATAATTTCACTGAATTTTAATGAGCCTTCATAAAGCAAGAAGAATTCTTAGGATACGAGTCGTTTGCTCGAATAACTATTTTTAACGCCAACGACAAAGCACTCGTTGTTATACAGGGTATACAGAAGTGCACGGAAATTAAAGGTGTTAAAATAAAAACTTGCAGAATTTAAAATACAAAATTTTTTTCCGGCGGGCTGATTAATTAATTTTAAGACAAAAAGATCGTATAAATGTGGATCTGCAAGGCCTTCCCATAGTCCCGAAATAGGTTGAAAGAAAGTTTTTTAAATTTTGGCATGTTGAATCAGATCGGAAAATTATTAATTTTGGCAAGGGCCGTAAATTTTGAAGGGTACAGGTATACTTCGACCAGAATTATAGTGCTTTTACGACGAGCCTGTCATTAACTACTGTTTGTTACTCTAAATTGTAAACAATCAAAACAATTTGTTTAGTACAATAATAAAAACAAGAATAACTTTTTTGTGGGTTGACTTTTGCACTTTTTTCTTATAAAATCCGAATATTTTCTTTCTGCAGTTTATTGATATCAGCGTCACAATTAAACCGATATGGTGGTTGCTGCACTGTTCAGGCCACAGATCTTTTATCACAAACCCATTAGAATTTAAGCAGTTGCGAACATCTCATACCATAGAATAACTTTGAAATACCTCGTAACAAATAAATAACAAAAATACTATCAATATCAACACTAATTTCAGACGGTAATAAAATGTTCTAGAAATTGTTTCTTTAGTATTTGATGTTTATTAAAAATTATTTTGAAAACCACAACTACTAAAAAAAACACCAAAGAGAAAAAAGGTCTCAGGTTGAAAAAATAAAAATGTAATTTTTAAAATAAAGTTTCTTTACGTGTGATATCTTTGACTCACTCTGTATAATGTATTTCTCTGTTTAATCTTGCACATCCGGTTTGTTTGTTATTTATTTTTATTCTAATAACTTGAAGTAAATAGAGAACAGTGAACTTTGACATACATATATTTACATTCGGTTCTGCTAGGTACTGATATCTCGTATCTTGTCTCCGCGTTAGTCTTGACGTTTAGTATTCTGATACATGAACGATTTGGTTGGCAACTAACAGCATTCGGATTTAAATTATCACCTTAACTGAACTTAGGCCCAACTTAAAACTTTACCCCATCAAAATTAGGAAACTATATTGCCGTTTTTTTATCGTATTTTGTAAATATTCATATAGGAAGCTAAGGGAAAAATACTCCGCTTAGGAAAACACCTAAAAACGAATTGAACACTTTAAAACAACACGATATTCTTGTAAAAGTCTTATTTATCGTATCAAACTGCAAAACTAGAAGATCTATAAATGTAAAAAAAAACTTTCTAGTGTAAAGTTAATATCTAACGTGGCCTAATAGTATTAAGAAGTCTGTGTGTAAAAGAGTGAAACGCGGTCATTTTGTGTGTATAAGGGTGATTTGGGCTGTTATGTATGACTGTGTCCGTGTGTGAAGGTTTATTAACAAAGAACTTAATATCACTAAACAAATTGCACTAAAAAACGGCTACAATCCGTCCATTATGGATAAAATTATAAATAAAAAACAAATCCAGACAACTGTAAGCTCTATTTATCCGAAACCTAATACAGGACACCATTACCATTACATACATAGGAGAACGCAGTGAAAAAGTTTCAAAACATTTGTCAAAATGTATAGGAAATGAATAGGAAAATTTTCACTGTTTTGTATGTAATTTCTAAGAATGTAGTAGGTTAAAGAAAAACATTTTTTAGTATTTTCTCTTGGTTCTATAAAAACGTTTTCAATGGAGTTGTTAATTTGCCTAGACTTTTGCTTTCAACCGTAGGGGAGGGTGGGAGAAGGCCGTTCACTTGAGCGTTTTATTATTTTTTTGGCTTTTGGCGATTTATAGAATGCTCTCTTTTATATCTAAATATATCTGCCTTGCTGACTATCAATATGGATTCATAAAAAATAGCAGTTCCCTGAGCGCTACCATGGATCTTGTAAATCGATTAATGTCCGACTTAGATGCAAAGCCAAGCGAACTTATTTACTGGATAGAAAACAACATGTTCAAATAAAATATGTTAAAAGTGAAATGCAATCAAGTGTATGTGGCGTTCCGCAAGGTTCAGTTCTAGGACCATTGTTGTCCTCGTTATTTGCGGTGTACGGGCAGTGGGTAATAAATTAAAAATAATTATTGATAAAACAAAATACATGTTGTTCAAGCAAAAAAAACGAAGTAATACAGATGCCAAGATCAAGTATTAAGAATATAAATATGGAACGTGTTAAGCGAATTAAATATTTAGGCCTACTGATCGACGATAGTTTAAACTGGGCTGAGCATATTAATTTTATATCAAATAAAACTTACCCAATGGTCATATAAAAGCCGAAATTATCTGATTTACTGTAGTAAAATGGATATTTACAATTTTTATTTTGTATGACATAAGGAAATACCTAATTCCAATATTCCATTCTTAAAAATGTTATATAATTATTATGGTTGCATAGAGAATAGGACATTTATAAACTAGGCAAATTGCTTAAACTACAACAATGTAAATTTATGTATAAGGTGATGATAAATAAAATAAAAAAATCTAACATGACAATTAAATTTAATGTGACACCAGATCTCATAATGATATTTACAATTTTAATATCAGAGCTAATAAAGGACTTGCCAATCCAAGCAGCATGTACTTATAATAAGAAGCTTCCAGACAATTGAAAAGAAATATAGATAAATATATTAAATTTGTAAAACAGTTAAAAATTCAATATAGGTACTCTACAATATGTATGTGTAATAGTAATAAGATTAAGTAATGGGTTGTATACTTAACTTTTTTTTTTAATTTATTTTTTTTATAAATTTATTCTTTGTATCCTTGGGACCAGTGCTTTACGCACTGCTTAAATAATTCTCAATTAATTTTTTGTAGTTAGTTAATTAAATAAAATGTATGATTTTTCAAAAAAAAACTATTTTTTATATAGACTAAAAAAAATGTTATAGGCATTTTCGAAAACTCTGGCTTTAGGCTAAATCCATAGTATTCTCCAAGAAATAACACTTTCAATGAATTTATTATGATTCGGTTATAATAATATGTGATAGCGCTTACCACTGACGTTACGCTAAAAATGTACAAATAACCAGAATTTATTTGTTAATTTTTGAGGTGGGCCCCCTTGCCCCACCCATCCCTATATCGCAATTTAATATAAGACAAAATCTGGTCACTAATAAGAATTGCTTTTCCCAAAGAGCTGGTAATTTGATTCGAAATTTTGCATCCTTTATTACAAGGCCTTAATATGCGGAATTCTTAAAACAACAATGTTCGTTTTCGCTCAACTTACCCACATAAAAACGTTAAGTCAACGATATCACAGTAACCTGGACAAAAAATAAAATGTAAGCACTGACGGAATAGCGCGTGTGACGACCTTTAGGACGGCGAATTGCTGCACTCCACCCGCCGAGCGATAGAGAAGGACTAAATGGACTTAACTGAGCCGAGGTGTGGCGAACCACGACGCTGGTCACTCGCTTGGTTTGGGGAATAACAGCGTACAAGCAACAAGTTTCAACGGCCAAATGTTCAGAATGTTCGATTTCATCCGTATTGCCAAACGAACGATTTGGTTAGTTTTGGTTAGTTGCCAAACGAACGATTTGGTTTCCAAAAAAAAAGCAGTACCTTAGGAGCCTCAAGAGACCTGCCGGGCCCATATCAGGAGAACTTAAAAATACAATTAACAATATTCATCGATTCGCAAAAAATATTCGACACAGTCGATATTGATATAATACTTCATAAATTACAAAGAGTGGGCTTCAGCAATATATTTCCATTTCGCTGACAATACAGTACTAGCCCTGTCAGCAACAAATAAAAAAGAACTGGAAAATGCCCAAATGAAGACTTAAATAGTCATTATGTATGATTGTATTACAATAAATTATCGATAATACAAATTCACAAATGGTATGTATGATCATCAAACAAAAAAATAAATAAATCTGTGATATAAAATTGTTCCTCAACAATATTAAACTGAAAGAAGTACAACATTATAAAAATACAAAAATAAAAATAAAAAGAATAACAAAAAACAAAGAGTTTTAGTTTATAAGAGTTTCATTACACTTCATATAAGGTACTTCATTTTCTGCTGGGGAGGTCTTCCCACCTATCTACGAAATCAATTACAGAGAACCCAAAACGAAGCAGTAAAATAAACCGACTTCGGAACTAATTTTTCAAAACCCTTTGTAGTACAAAGATCGCAATTATACAGGGTATTTTCTACTTAAATGTCAATAATTAAGGAGCGATTTTTGGGTCCATTTTATAGAGAAAGCTTTCGAGAAACGGTGTGGTAAATTTTTCAAAAATATGTGTAGTACCACTTTAGATATTTTAAAGAAGTTTGGCACACATGTACTATGTATCGAGAGGCATTAAGTATTTAGAGTACTACCTTTTTTTTAATACAGCAGTGACTATTTTGGCAGACATTGACGGTACGCCACTCTCAAAATAAGAATTATTCTCAACCACCAATCATTTCTAAAGAAATGTAATTTCTCACTGGGAAGATGACTTCTCCAGAGACAACTCCAAAAATATAAAATTTTGAGTTTACCATGTCTGTATATCTTAGATGTATATTTGTAGGTGTTCACTAGAAGCAGGAATAACTATGTAAATATCAGTAGGTCGAGCATTTCGTAAAAATCGCCAAAGAATGAAGCAGTAGTACCTGCAGAAATAAACAAATTGCGAATTAGAAACTAAAGAATTATTTAATTGAAAAATGTTATTAAAAAGTTGAAGAGCATTTATAATAATTTGGAATGTTAGATGGGGTTTGTTAGATGTTCTAGCTTTAAGTGTTCTCGTACTTTTTTGTGACAATTCATACTCGAATTTTAAATTTATCTTATGGAAATAAACTGAACTGAACTGAGCTGTAGTGAAGTGAACTGAATTGGCCAGGGAGATGATGGATGGTGGAACAATATAGAAATGACACCTACTGTTCACTGTCGTTTGAATATTTTTTTAAAAAAGGTCGCAAATAATGTCCTATAATAAAGTTATTAACATAAGAGTTCTTTAATTTTATTTTATTTCTAAAAATGGAACTATATTTGTTATATTGCTGAAAAATATCCAAATAAAAAAACTACAAGTGACGAATAATTTTAAGGCCGTATAGGCACAAGGTCATCTTTTTTTATTAGCTTTTAATATATATACATACATACATATATATATATATATATATATATATATATATATATATATATATATATATATATATATATATATATATATATATATATATATATATATATATATATATATATATATATACACGAAAATAATTTTTTATTTTTAATTCGTAAACCCGACCTGTGCAGACCAAAATAAGAATATATTGAATTTTGGTTGCGCCCGCCATTTTGAGCAATACATGTTATGCAGACTATTTCTCCTTGGATTATGTGCCGCAATTCATTGTCTAGGTTATTCCATAAGAAATGGTCATGTCTGCACCCCAAGATGACCGTTTTCTTGGTAACACGAATTAATATTTCAATTACATTCATGGCACTTGGTTCTCAATCAACTCCTGGATGTCGTTGCTTAAGGGCAAATGACTCATCAAACTCTGACTCGTTTTATGTTTTCACCCCTTCTATTTTTTTCCTCTTTTCACTTTTTTCTCATAGAGAAGTCCCCCCCTTTTCTAATGCTAAATACAATACAAATATAAAAACCATTTTTTCATTTAGATATTTAATGTAAGTTCTTGCATTTATCTATTATTATTAAAATATCATCACAGACCACTAAAATAGATGCTCTTTTACATGAAATTATTTTAAAATTTATAAAATAATATAGACAATTTAGACCCGCAAACCTCACTCCCGAAATAACATTACCAATATGTCAAGAAGGGTAAGACTTTATAGGATATTGTATATGAAATATATCTAGAAAGTTCTAGGGAATTGAAAAATATGTTAACATACATTTAGAAAAGAAAAGTTGCTTGTCCGCGAATATAGAAACATCCTGTATATAAACCAGTGGAATATTTTAAGAGTATACATTTTTTAAACATACTTACTAAATATTTTTGAAAGTTAAATAATAGTTAAATTTTTGAAGGTGTATTATGTAAAATATTTAAGTAATTCTAATTATTTATCATTAATTTGATTGCAAAATTATTTCTCTTTACCGAGTACCGATAGCGCCACCATTTTTAACCGCACATGTACATTATATTCAACAAATATTAATGTATTATTTTATACTGTTTATTTAATTCCTGTTCAGCAATTAAATAAAATTTACAAAATAAAAAGCTAGGCCATCAACGTGGCAAATTGCAAAAATGTTTTTTGATCGCGCCTGGTAGATTGCCGGTCATCATCCTGGCGCGGAACATCGGCGATCGTTTAAAAGAATGCATTTCTGGCTGACATCGAATAGCAGTACCGTAACTCCTATAGGTAATCACCTATGAGAGCTGGAAAAATGGTCGGCACGAAGTTACGCTGTTGGATCCTCCTAGCTCATCTGCGGGAACTTTTAATAACCAATTATCTGGCCCGTAATTAGTTCCTGGTTTACAAGAAATTGCCGATGTTGGTTTTCATTCTGAGCAGTGTTGACCGTAAAGGCCCCTTTTAATGCGACGTGATTTTTAATTTTGAAAAGTAAAAAAAGAGCACCGACGAGTATTACTCAGTATAAACAAATAAATGCGTATTTTATTATTCAGCATTATGCGCAGCCACAGTTTTGAGTGTTGCGAAGTATAAAGTAGTATTGTGCCTCCGTGAAAAGGGAACAGATTAATATTAGGCCACGTTGCGATAGGAGATTTTTAAAAGATTAAAAAAACTGTTTGCGTATGGATAACGAAGCATGGGGAACACTCCAAATTAAAAAACAGGAAACTATTGACTAGTTAAACCATAAAAAATATTCAAGTTGAACTCAAATTTGATAAAGAAAGAGCTATTACTTAAAGATTTGTAGCAAGGCAACATGACATTAAAAAAAAAGTTTAAGCTGCTTTTTGATCACATATATATATATATATATATATATATATATATATATATATATATATATATATATATATATATATATATATATATATATATATATATATATATATATATATATATATATATATATATATATATATACATATTTTTTATATGACGTTTACAAAAAATAAATAATAACGATAATAATAATAATAATAACAATAATTATGATAATAATAATATTAATAGTCTTTATTTAAATTATAAGTAAAAAATTGTTTTGCTTTTGCACTTTCCGTCCCCAGAATGGATTAACTACTGAATAATACTGCATTTGCGCCAGTTTTCCAAAAAGTAGCTTCATCCAAAGTTCTTGGTGTAGTTTGACCTGAAAGGGGTGACATTTGTGCTTTCTAGTGACTTTCTTAGCCTTGCAATATCTTTCTACTAACAAAGTATTTTTTCCACCTCACCCAGTATATAAATCATACCAATTAATGCAGCTTTAATAAAATGTATACCTAGTTTTTTTTTAATTTTTGATTTACTGACTCCGCAATAAATTTTGTTGTCAGGTAATGGCCTACTAATGTTAGGCAATAGTCTTATAAAGAAAGAAGGAATAAATATAGGAAAAGTCAAAATGAATCGCAAAGTAATAAAAACCTTTCTTCTTGTAAGATCTTTCAGAAACAATAATAATTTGTGCGACATTTTTCAATGTAAATTAAGCCAGCGCTAATAACGAATACGCATTACCTACCTTTAAAAACAAACTAACTGAAGTAACTGTAACTGCAAAAGTTAGGTATTGTTATGAATAAAAAAATTTGAAGAATTTTAAAAGGAATTCAAAACAAAATTTGAAAGTAGGGTTTCCCATTTATATTTATTCGTCTCGCTTTTTTAGGACACCCTGTATACTTTAGCACCAGCTTGAATTTTCGCCACCGTCAATATATAAATACAAGTGCTAAAAGTTGCAGCAACTCAAATTAATTCTGGATTTGTGTTGACAACAGAGTGACAACAAAGTGTAAGAATTTCATGGCCTACTTGTTTAAATATTATTGTGATCGGGATATTCGAGATCAAAAAAGGTATGGTTTTATATATATATATATATATATATATATATATATATATATATATATATATATATATATATATATATATATATATATATATTCAGATGACAATTGTTCCGACAATACCGTATGGATGTCAAATCTAATATTTACCTGCTTCTATATATACTGAAAAATGACAATAAAACTTTAATTAATGTTGTTGTGAGAATTTAAGTTTAATAATGGAGAGGTACTTAAATCTAATTGATCGTTAAGGGATACAATCGAATTTCTCATTTTCTTAATCTTCAGGGCTTCCAATAAATTTAATTTTCTA